ATGTGCTGCATCTTCTTTATCCATTCATCTATTGATGTGCACTTGGGTGCTTCCATATCTTGGCAATTATAAATAATGTTGCTGTTAATAAGGGGGTGTAGTTATCTTTTTGAATTAATTCTTATTTTGTAGTTGGCTTTATTCCTTTGATAACTATGTAAATTTAAAAAGATAAAGCTCTAAATATTCTTAGAAATAATAGTACAATATGTAATTTTTAAAAAAATATGTGCAGTATATTGTGTGTATGTATTTACATGCAATATGTTGTATATGTACAGTCAAATTGTAACAATTCTACCTAATGAAACTGAAAAATGAAAAAATTAAACAAATCAAAGTCCTAAATCAATAATAATCCATGTTCATGGGTAGGAAGATTCAATATTGTCACGATGTCAGTTCTTCCCAACTTGATCTATAGGTTCAGTGCAATCCTAAACAAAATCCCCGCAAGTTTTGTGGATATTAGCTAACTGAATGTTTTCGGGAGAGGAAAAACACCCAGAATAGCCAACATAATATTCAAGGAAAAGGATAAACTTGGAGGACCAATAGTATCCAACTTCAAGGCTTATATAAAGCTACAGCAATCAAGATAGTGTGGTATAAACAAAAGAGTCGACAAAATAGATCAATGGGACAGAACAGAGAGCTCAGAAATTGACCCCCATAAATATGGTCAGCTGATTTTCAACAGAGGAGCAAAGGCAGTACAATGGAACAAACATGGTCTTTTCAACCTATGATGCTGAAACACTGGACATCCACGTAAATAAAATGTATCTAGGCACAGAACTTACACCTTTCAGAAAAATTAACTCAAAATGAATCATAGACCTAAATGTAAAACACAAAACTATAAAACTCCTAGAAGATAGCATAGGAGAAAACCTAGATGACCTTGGGCATGGTGATGACTTACGAGATACAATACCAAAGGCATGATCCATGGAAGAATCAGCTGATAAGCAGAATTTCACTAAAATGAAAGACTTCTGCTCTGCAAAAGACAATGTCAAAAGAATGAGAAGATAAGTCACAGATGGGGAGAAAATATTTGCAAATGGCACAGCTGACCAAGGACTGTTATCCAAAATATAGAAAGAATTCTTAAAACTCAATAGTAAGAAAATGAGTAACCCAACTGAAAAATGGGCAAATGACCTTAATAGACCCCTCCCTCCCCAGAGAAGAGAGACAGAAAGCAAATGAGCACATGAAAAGATGCTCCACATCACACATCATCAGGGAAACGCGTGATAAAACAACAAGGTACCACTACACAGCTATCAGAACAGCCAAAGTCCAGAATATTGACAGCACCAAATTCAGCAAGGATCAGGAGCAACAGACTCTCTTCCCCCATCACTGGTGGGAATGGAGATGGTGCAGCGGCTTTGGAAGACATACAAAACTAAATGCAACCTCACCATGTCATCAGCAATCACTCTCCTAGGTATTTACCTAAAGGAGTTGAAAACTTATGTCCACACTAAAGCCTGCACACATGTTTTTAGCACTTAATTCATGATTGCCAGAACTTGGAAACAACCAAGATGTCCTTCAATAGGTGAATGGATACATAAACTGTGGTACCTCACTACAAAGAAATGAGCTATCAGGCCACAAAGAGACACAGAGGAACCCTAAGTGAAAAAAGCCAATGAGAAAAAGATACAGATTGGATGATTCCCACTGTGTCACATCATGGACGAGGTAGAACTATGGAGGCAGTAAAAAGATCAGTGGTTGCGAGGCGGCGGCGGAGAAGCAAGAGAGGGGCAACAGGCACAGCACACAGGATGCCCTGGGCAGTGAAACTACTCTGCGCCCCACCATCATGATGAGTACGTGTCCGTGCACATCGTCTAAACCCACAGACGGTACGACACCCAGCGAACCCCTTCATGAAGCATGGATTCTGGGTGCCGACGACGCACCATCTCACCGTCAGTTGTAACGAATGTCCCATCTGGTGCGGTAATCGGAGGAGGCTGCGTACGTGGGGGCAGGGGTTCTATGGGAAAAATCTGTACCTTCCTCTCAGTTTTGCTGTTACCCTGAAACTGTTCCAAAAAAACCCGGCTATTCTAAAGAATGAATGACATTAACAAAGAAAGTTGAATTACCTGACAATACATCTAGGGAAAGTGGACGAAAAAAATACAACGTTTACAGAAATAAAAGCCACTGTACGTATTTCAAAAATACGAATAAATGCTGTTCAAACCCCAGTGGGGGTCGGGGGAGTCTGTAGCTCAGCGGTACACCTTGCTTGGCACGCAAGGTCAGGGGATCTATCCTCAGAACCTCCATTAAAAAGCAAATAAAAACCAGTCAGAAATACAGAACATGTTCTAGAAATGCATACAGAAAAGAGGTAGAAGTGACGTTGAGGGGACAAGGGATTGTGGAGCACAGATGAGAGAAGAAAACACAGAGCAAAAAATATGTAACTGACAGAACAAAACACTGTTTTCGAAGGTGCTCCTAACCCCTCCAGACCACAACTCAGGCCCCGCCCCGCCCGCGAGGCCCTCGCCCCGGTCTGCAGTCGGCCGCCTCCCTCCCAGTCTACGGGCAGGGACAGGCTGTCGTCGTGTCTACGTCGGTCACTCTGCGGTCCGTCAGCGGGTGGCCCAAATAAACGACTGCCTGGCCGTGGCCAGTCCTCACGGGCGCCGGCCGTGGCCGGGCCGCGAGTGGACGCGC